TTACAAAAATACAGTATGGCACCTTTTGCTGACTCAAAATAAAGATATAAATCATCTACTGATTAGTTGCCAGTTGAGACTGCATCTACACATCAATGTGATATCCTGAAATTACACCAAATTTTTCAGTTGTCAAGTAAATATTATAAGAGCTGATTCAGGCATTGTGCTTAGAGGCCAAAGGGAAAATAGAAAATGCACTATTCTTCTTTAGATTGTAATCCTGAAGCTACCTCTAGTGGCCAAAATGCCTACATCCTGTGATATGAAGATATACAACTTGATGCATGTCAAATGTATATTAGATCCCATCAACACAATGTGTCAGATGATAAATTTGTTCAGGTCTATCCTTAAGAAATAACATCTGTATAAAACATGTCATCTGTACGGTTGCTAGAGACGTAGTGACAGAAAGGCTGTCTGTTTGTTGGGTTTAAGCCAGGGTTTTTACACATGTCCCACGGACCAGAACTGCCCCACCAAAGAGTCCAAGAACAGCCCACTGCAAGGAAAGAGTCCTGCCAACCAGTTTCTTTACAACAGCAGCATTTCTTTGTCATGTTTAAAAACTGTGATGCATTGTTTTACTTTTTTTCACTTTATTTAAAATATTTTTTACTGGTTTGGCCCATAGATAGATAGATAGATAGATAGATAGATAGATCGATAGATAAAGGATTACACATTGTTCAAGTTATTTTCAGAAAAGTTCAGCAACTGAACAAAAACATACTATCACAGAAAATGTACAACATTAATCAGTGATTTATAGGCCAAGCATTAACAATAGGTAGAATTAGTAGTGCTTGCATATTTTCTACACCTGAATTTAATTATATTTGTAGCCTGCAGCTGTGCTCCATTTCCTAAAAGCTGTGCCAAATGTGCAGTGACACAAACGTGCAGAGATGGTACTTTTTGTAAGGCAGCGTGTAGGTAACAAACTGCTTACTTTAGTTAGTTGGGGGGGGGCGGTTGATGATACATTTGTGTGCAGTGTTAACACTCTTTTAGAATTGGATTGGAATTGGAACCTGAAAAAGCTTGAATCATTTTGCAATTTTCTTTCTTAGTTGCTTGATACTACCAATGCTTCATCTGTGCAAGTATGGCCGCCTCATTAAAGATCTTTTTGTGTGTAGGCAATTGCAAAGTGGCTGTTGACTTGGATGTTTGCCATTACTATTAACCACAAACAGTATAAATGAAGGGTGTGACAATAGCAAGTTTGATGTACTGTGGGAGGGGACACAAAGGGGGAAGATTGCTATTGTTTAGCAAGTTTTATTTGTACAGTGTGACATTTTAAAACATAACCCTTTTGGTTTAGTTTGAGCATGTTTATATTTTTCAGGGATGCTACCACTGAGCTACTAAAAGACCAAATGAGTCAAGAATTATAGTTAATCCACAAACAGCTGAGCACATTCTGATATAAAATGAAAGCCCCAGACACAGGCCCAGGTGCTACAAATGTCTCATTAAGGAAGGCTAGTGGTGACCATGAGCCAGCATACATAACAGGCCACTGAATCTAAGCAGCTAAATGACTGTCATTCAAATATCATCCAGTTAATTATTTACACCTGTGCCTGTAGCACTGCGATGCATCATCATGCTGTGCAAAATTCAAACCTATGTCAAATGTGTGCAGACGGTGACCAGGTGTCCCACTTTCTGTTTTATCCTTTGTCCTGGGACCCAGACACCGAGGCAATGACCCACATTTTCATGGGCTCCAGTAAACAAGAGGCAGCATGTAAGACTCAAAAATACATGACACATTGACACAAACAAAGATGAGACAGTAGCTGTAACGGTAGCTGACAGTTTTAAATATTATTTGGATAGAAAAAGATTGTGTGCATAAAAACTATAACATAAGACTTAAAATCTCATTTTACTTTCATTTATACTTAGTGCATTTAATTATTTTCTGATCTTCTCTAGATTTTGTGTTGTCAGTGTCCAAGTGTGGATTAGTTCTTGTTTTGTTTTGTTTTTTCTGTTCTCTTATGTTTCATTTTAAGTGACACACTTATTAAGGACAAGTGTCATTTTGTGCCTTGTAGGCATTATTGTGTATCTGCAGTCTGTTTTATTAATGACTTTGGCAGGAGCGACAGTGGCTGTAGACAGTAAATTTAGTGTGATCACAGCTTTGTAACTGAAGTAACTGATATGTTTGGCAGTGGGATATAATTTCAAACAAGCTTTAATATCTTGCCTTTCTTTTTCAACAACATTGGGCTCAGCAGAAAAAAGATCTGCCACACTGTGCACAAAAACAAGATGAGAAGAAATAAAGACGAGTAGTCATACTTATAGTAATAAAACTGTGAGATTATGATGATGGCGGCGCGTACACTACGTGAGGCCCTGCATCTCATCAGATTTTGCAAGTTAGCAGTGTTATTCCTGCTCATTTTGGATCTGTTCGTTCAGAACATCGTCGCTTTTACGTCTGACACCTGACGAGAGCTTTTGGATACAGGATTACATAATTTCAATTGTTTTATCAGTAGCCTTCGACTCATCCCTGAAATAAGAAGAACACCCAACGCTTTACAAGCTGCTCGGCCGACAGGAAGTGCTCGAAGACGGTGCAGGGACCGCAAACAAAGGCGGGGGAAATGCGGAGGGCTAACAGGTAAGCAAAGGCTAACACCGCACCAGCTTTAAAAAAACTTTGTCAACTCTGACCCACGACACATGTGGCTGGGAATTTAGGCCATCTCTGACTATAAGTCCAGCAATTCCACACAGACAGCCATGAATGTGTCCTCCCTCAATGAGCTAAATAACTCCTACACTGGTTTTGACAACAAGAAAAAGTCTTCCAAAACCCTACCCTCTGATGACTGCCATACCCTCACTCTTACCACCATAGATGTCCATAGCATCAACGAGCAGCCTTGCGAGCGTTGATGAGCAGCATCAACGCTTGCAAGGCTGCTGGCCCTGATGGCATTCCTTGATGTGTGCTTCGAGCATGTGCTGAGTAGCTTGTAGGGGTCTTTACAAACATCTTTAACTTGTCGCTTGTCGAGACAGTAGTACCAATGTGCTTCAAGACCACCTCTATTGTGACAGTGCCGAAACACTCATCACCAACGTGCCTGAACGACTATCACCCTGTAGCCTCACGCCCATAGTTGTGAAGTGCTTTGAGCGACTGGTCCTGGCACAACTCAAGACATGCTTGCCCCCTCCCACACTGGATACTCACCAATTTGCCTATCGAAGCAATAGGAGTACACTGTTAGACATTTTATTGTATTTTTACAGTAACTTACTGGCAAAACTATTGCCAGTAAGTTACTGTAATTACTGATCTACAGTATCTTTACTGTTGTGATGTTTTACAGTTCAACCACTTTACTGTAAACATATATTACAGTATAACAGCTTTACTGTAAATGTTGTTTGTGGTAATGCAGCTTTACTGTAAACGTGGTTTACAGTTAGAAAGACTTACCGTGATTAAGTTTTATAGTATCACTGTACTGCAAATGTGGTTTATGGTATAACACTGTAATTGTGTACAGTATAATTTGTGTAGACTGTAATTGTGTTTTACAGCATATAAAATAATATTAACATTCATATTCAATATAAGAACATTTACAAAAAACAATATAATTCAATAAAGTAGTCTCAGAATAGTGAATTAAACCAACATTTATTGTTGATAATTTTTTTTTAACAAGAAAAACATTTTTCAACTGAATAAAAACAATGTCAATAACCAAAATAAATAGAAGCGTACATGAAAACTACACAGTCCTTCACCTTTCTGTGTCTGAGTTTTTTAAGGAAAACAGTTTTTCATTCCACTAAAAACAAGACAAACCCACCAGCATGAACATTAAATAAACTATTACAATTGTAAAACAAAAATCATTTACAAAATGTAATAATTATCAGTGGGTCCCAGGAAATAGAATGTGACATGGGATTTAGATTTCCATTACCAGGATGGTCGGGTTCAGCGTAGTCTTTATCACCACCTGTCAAAGACACATCATCAATATTCATGTTTGCTCAGGTTATTCACTTGTTCACATCTGTCTGAAATCATTCATACTGTTGTATGGATGTGTGTACAGTATGTATATAATTATCAGCTATGTAAAAAATATTATCATCTCTGTATTCTTACCTAGTTGGAAGTCCTCCATTCAAACTCAGAGAGCCGCTGGAGGAAGGTGGT